ACCCGGTCCGAGGGGAGCCGGCTCGGAAGGGACTTGGAAGACGGACCTCAGGCGCCCCAGGGTGAGAGCAGAAGGGAGGCCAGCCTGAGGGGAGCCCGGGCCCCCGCGCCGAGTAAGGATATTGCCGCAGAAGGCCGTCCACCTCGCTAGGGTCCGGGCCTGGCTCGGCCGCCGCCGCCGCCGCCTCCTCCTGCTCGTCCACGAATTTGTTCTCATCAAACTCATCGATGTCCACCCGACGGAAGCGCGAGGACAGCGTGTTCCGGGCCATGGCGGGGAGTCGGCGCCCGCTCAGCCGACTCCGCTCCGGATCCGACCTCGGCTCTACTCCGCTCGGCACCGGCTCAGGCTCGGGGGCGGGAAGCGGCCGCCGGGCGCCTCCTCCACCTCCTCCGCGCGCAGACGCCGCTGCCCGCCCACTTCCGGGCCACGCCGGAACCGGAAGCGCCGGTGGGCGGGAGGGGTGGGGCCCCATAGGAGACTGGCTGGAAGCGCAAGAGAATCCACCTAGGAGCTGTCCCCACGGCCTCCAGCGAGGTTTTCATCTTCGGGTAGCTTCAGTCTTGCGGCCTGAGAAGCGGGCGCCCCGACCCCGCTTAAGGTCCCAACATCGTGGACGTCATAAACTGCGCTCGTTCTTCGGCTTCCCTCCTAAAGCCGAAGAGCCCCTGGCCTTGGAAGGGGCCTGCGCCGGCATAGCCGCGGACGCGGGGGTCATCACTCACTACCCAGACTGAGGAGGGGGCATGGGGCCCCGAGGAGAAGGTTCCTGGCTGTCGACTGCTGGGCGGGCTTCTTTGAGGGAAAAAAAAAACTTCGAGCTGAGTCGTGAGGGATGAGTAGTGGTTCTGCCTCTGGAAATGACGGGATGGGGGCGGGGGGCCGAGCTGGGGGCCCTAATTCTTAGGAGACTTGAACGCCACCACCTTGTTCGGAGGAAGTCGCTTCTGCCTTGTAGATAGTGACTCTATTGTTAACGGACCGGGAGACTTTATAGATGTTTAAAGTGTATCAGAGTGCTGACAGGACGATGAAAACATTTGGACTAGGCAACCATGGGTCCCTAGGCCTGGCGGGTGGGAGGCGAGGGAGATGACCCTGTGGTCCCCATCCTGACTCCTAGAAAGAGTGAGGTGCTGGGGGCTGAGTAGCTGTCCTGGTTGGAAAAGTAGGAAGCTGAAACCCCAGAGTAGGAAATGGGGGATGATGGAGGTACGTAGTGCAGAGTCAAGAAGGTCTATGAGGTGCCAAGATTGAGTGTCTGGGCTGCTAGCAGAGGGGTTCTGTTAATAGGCCCGAACCTTAAATTAAACTGGGTCTTTGTTTTCATAGAATTGTACTTTTTAAAAAAGATTTTATTGTTAAGTAATCTCTGATATGGGAAACAAAGGCAAAAGAAAATGTGGGTAAAATTAAATTTTCTTATAACCTACAGCCTATTGACAAATACTTTAGGCAGGCAGAGTACAATATTCTACCAGAAACCCAATTATCTTAATGTTAATGCTTTGCTAGAGGGTAAAACAACCTTAGCTTGACAACAGCTAGGCCTCCAGAATCCTGTGAGTCTCTTAGCATATGAAAATCCTTTTGGAAACTTCCCCTTGCCTTTACCTCCCCCAACTCCCAAGTATGTAATCAGTCACTCACAGTCCCAGTGCAACTCTTTCTGCCTGCAGGTCCTGTCCCTGCGCTTTAATAAAACCACCGTTTTGCACCAAAGACATCTCAAGAATTCTTTCTTGGCCGTGGCCTCTGAACCCCAACACTTCAAACCACATCAATCTCTATACCCAGCATGGGGCTGGAACTTAACAACCTGGAGATCAAGAGTTGCGTGCTCTATTGACAGAGCCAGCCAGGCACCCTTAATTGTACTGTTTTTAATAAAGGTCAATAGTTCATGAAGTACGACTCCTTTTTATTGTTTCAAATGCTCATTGAACCTTGTACATATCAAAAAATTATTGCCAGGTTATGAGACTTCCTAATCTCGGGTGCTAAAGATCCAGACTCTTACACTGGGAAATAAGTGCTGAATAAAAGTCTCAGGGGTCCTGGAAACAGGCAAAGCCCTTCTGTCTTTTCAGTTCCATTCCCTGAAAGAAATCTTTGTGACCCAGGCAGGCCACAAGACAGCAGAAATTTATATCCCCAGAACATCCTGGGCAGAATGAACTTTAAACCAGAAATGCCCATGTTAGGGGTGCCTGGGTGGCACAGTCGGTCAAGTGTGTGGCTCTTGATTTTGGCTCACGTCATGATCTCATGAACCGGAAGATCGAGCCCCAAGTCAGGTTCTGTGCTGTCAGCTCGGAGCCTATGTTGGATTATTTTTAAAATGCCTTTACATGTAAGGAAATAGCCCCTAAATAAACTAGTGAATGAAATAACGAAATAATGGATCTCCCAGTCAGGGAGCCAGAATTTTTTTTTTTTTTTTTTTTAGGGAGCCAGAATTTTAAAAATCTATACTATGTCAGGGATGACTGTGTGCTGAGGGTATAAAACCATGCAGTGCCTGGCAGTGTCTTCGATAAAGTGGTCAGGAGAGATTTCCCTGAGGAGGTGACACACAGGGACCTGAAGGAAGTGAAGGAGGAAGCCAAGCAAAGGCCCAGAGACAGGGCAGGTGTGGCATATTCCAGAAACAGAAAGGTCCTAGTGGGGCACAAGAGAAGATGTGAGATGGAAGCCGGGGATGGAGGGAATGCTGTAAGGTTTTGCAGGCTGAGGGAAGGATGTGGTCTAACCTATGGGACAACACTGGAAACTGGGCGGTAACATGATCTGATTAAAGCTTGAAAAGGGTCGCTCTAACAGCTGTATTGAGAATACATGGGAGGGGCGCCTGGGTGGCTCAGTCAGTTGAGTGTCTGACTTCGGCTCAGGTCATGATCTCACAGTTTGTGGGTTTGAGCCCCGCGTCCGGCTCTGTGCTGACAGCCAGCTCAGAGCCTGGAGCCTGTTTCAGATTCTGTGTCTCCCTCTCTGACCCTCCCCTGCTCATGCTGTCTCTCTCTCTCAGAAATAAATAAAAAACATTAAAAAGAGAGAGAGAGAGAGAGAGAGAGAGAGAGAGAATACATGGGAATAAGAGCTAGAGAGGTGATTTAAAAGGTGACACCGACAGTCCAGGTGACAGGCAATGGTTAGCTCGTGTGCCACGCAGGTGCCAATAAGAGTGGTGGGAAGATGTTAGGTTATTATGAGAAAGCAGAAGCTGCAGAATTTGCTGGTGTGTTGGATGTGGCATGAAAGGAAACAAGGGAGTAACGGAGTAACAGATGACTTCCAAGTTCAGAAAGATGCACATAATCATTATTTGTAAAAGAACTATAAGCATTTGGAAAGCAAAGTCCCTTTGCACCATTTAACTTTCTTTCAAGACTAATCCATGTCAAGATTGCCCTCTGCCCCACACCCATCTACTTTTTGGAAGCCGTGGTCTGCACAAGGTTCGTTAATTCATTCATCCAACAAGCATCCATGTATTGGGCCTGGAGAGTAGATAAGCTAAGTCAGGTGTCAGTCAAGGTTCTACCGGGAGGGAACTTCCGGGCTGGCTGTAGAGACAGACCCATAATTTTTTTTTTCTTTTGAGAGAAAGTGCATGTGCCAGTAGAGAAGGGACAGAGGGAGAGGGAGAGAGAATCTCAGCATGGAACCCGAGGCAGGGCTCAATGTCAGGACCCTGAGATCATGACCTGAGCTGAAATCAAGAGACAGTCGTTTAACTGACTGAGCCACCCTGGCACCCCCTGGGCCCATAAACATTTTAATTCAGTATATTTGGGGCTCAAGAAAGAAGATTGCACAGAAAACTGGGGATATTAAGCACTTGGCTGGCTCAGTTGGAAGAGCATGACTCGATCTCAGGGTTGTGAGTTCAAGCCCCACATCGGGCACAGAAATTACTAAATAAATAAACGAAGACTACAAAGACAACAACAACAAAACAAGAACAAAAAGGAAGCTTGGAACACAAAAGGGAGAGAGTATCCCAACTTAGCCCAAAGCTAAGGCTCATTGCTAGAACCCCATAAAGGGATGGAAGAAGGGAGCATTAAGGGGACAACCTGGCTTTAGTGCTCTAAAAGGAATTGGTGCATATTTGTTCACAGCAATGGAGTGACACTAGAGTGATTCACATTTGCTGGATGGGACAACAATGAAACTAACTGCCTGGCCAGAAAGCCTGAGCACCTTCCCTGCTTTGTGAATTCTCCTTTAACTTTTAGGGCCCAATTTAAGTGTTCATTCCACTGGGATTATTAATATCAATGATACTCTGAACAACTGTTATGCATTAGATCTTGTTCTAAGAGTTTTCCATGTTCCTAAGCCTCAAAAAATACCCATTTCACAGGTGAGAAAACTGAGACTCAGAGAGGGGAAGGGATCTGCCAAGAGTCTCAGCGAACACGAGGCAACAGAGCAAGAATTTGAAACCGGTCAGTGTTCACTAAAATAAAGGCTCTGAATGCTCTTTCCCTGGCCACATGCTGCCTCCACTAGAACGTTTATGGTGTCCCGCCTCTCCCCAATCACTTTGGATTTTAAATTCCTCCAAGGCAGAAGCCGTGTTTATTATTCTTTGAAAACCCACAAACCTCATCCCCTCCAACCCCATGACACTGGCGCCCAGCTCAAAACAGCACAAACGGGTCGACCTGCAAAGGTCTATTGAATGAATGAATGAATGAATGAATGAACGAGTAAATGACTGAATGGACGAACTCGAGTCCTCACTGTGCCATCTGCGGGAAGCTGCCAGTCACCCTGGGCCTCGGTTTCCCCAACTGCTCTGCTCAGGAGACGATGAAGACCTGAGCAATCCCAGGTGCGGATCTCAAGCTCCTCCGAGCGGCGCCGGGCGCGCTGTAACCCAAGCACTCCCCGCGGCGGGACAGTGGGAAGGGTGAGGGGCGGAGCTAGGGCTCCCTCGCTGCGGGGCCATTGGCTGCGCCCGCCGCCACCCGGCAGTAGTTGTAGAGGTCAGCCCCGCCCTCTTCCTCTTTCCTTCGGCCTCTTCCCTTCGGCGCCGGCGGTTTCTGCAGACATGGTGAGGATGGTGGAATCGGGTGACATCCCCGCGCTGTGGGGCTCGGGGCCTGGGGTGGGGAGCTCGAGGTGAGCACTGGGGTTCCATCTGTCAGCCGGGCCTGTAAGGCGCCCTGCCGAGTGGCCTAGCGCCGCCACAGCCGGTCTCCCGCCGTCTGCCTTGTTGGCCTGGGCCCGGAGAGGTGAGCTCGCGCTGCCGGCGCCTCTGTCGTTCCGTCTGCAGAATGGGGGCAGCGGCCCAGCCTCGTGCCGGGCCTGGGCGAGGGCACGCCCGCGGGGGTCTCAGTTTCCCTGCCCTAGGGGAGGGATGCTGGGCCCGCCGCGCGCCTCCGGGGACTGGCCACGACGCAGGCGGAGGAGGGGGAGACAGCCCTGCCAGGTGTTTGACCCAAACCCTTTATTGTGCACAGGCCAAGATTAAGGCTCGAGACCTTCGCGGCAAGAAGAAGGAGGAGCTGCTTAAACAGCTGGAAGACTTGAAGGTGGAACTGTCCCAGCTGCGCGTCGCCAAAGTGACAGGCGGGGCAGCCTCCAAGCTCTCCAAGATGTGAGTGAGGGGCGGCTGCGCCACGGTTTTCTGCGTGTGGGGGACACCTGTGCGTCGGAAGGATTATTAGAGTTTTCGAAGTTGGCTAAAGGAAAAGTCCGTCTCGTGGACCCGTGGGTTGGAATGTCCTGTGCTTCCTAACCCGCTTCTCCAGGCTCGCGCTCACACCGCTGTGTGGTTTTCCTCCTCTCTGCGTTTGACCTTTTTGTCCTTTTTCCTGTAGTGCCCTTGCTTAGCTTCTCTGGTTGGAGAAAGAACAGGTTGTCCTTGAAGCCCCTTTATTTTTTTTAACCTTTTTTTTTTTAAATGTTTATTTACTTTTGACAGAGAGAGCAGGGGAAAGACAGAGAAAGAGGGACACACAGCCTGAGGTAGGGCTGGAACCCACCAACTGTGAGGTCATGACCTGAGCGGAAGTCACATGCTTAACTGACTAAGCCACCCAGGTGTCCCCCTGCAGCCCGTTTTTAACGCTGCCTTGAAAAGCTTAACCGAACCCTTTTCTCCTACCTTCCACCAGCACTTGTTCCCCCTGCCCTCCTCCCTCACTTGGTAGATGGGTGCCTTGCACCCACCTCTCCCTTGCATTGGCGTTAACTTTCTGACTTATTTTGGATCAAGAATCAGGACTTGTGAAAGGGACATGGGTTTGGAGTCTGTGGAACTGGGTGCAGATTCCCCTTTTTGCCACATGCTGTCCTGTCCTATCCGATGGGTGTGCTGACTGCCCACCCAGAGTTCGTTGGTGGTGGTTTCCCTTTTCTATAAGATGGGCCGCCAACAACCAACCTGCAGTGCTGGAAGGGGGTTGGATGAGTTGGGGAACACACAAGCAAGTTGCTTGCTGACCTCAAGACTGTGTTTACCAGGGCGCCTGGGTGGCTCAGTCGGTTAAGCATCTGACTTCGGCTTAGGTCATGATCTCACAGTTTGTGGGTTCGACCCTGCATTGGACTCTGTGCTGACAGCTCAGAGCCTGGAGCCTGTTTCAGATTCTGTGTCTTCCCTCTCTTTCTGACCCTCCCCTGCTCACGCCATGTCTCTCTCTCAGAAATAAATTTAAAAAAGAAAAGAAAAAAAAGGCTATGTTTACCAACTATGTTTACCCTTCTTCCATCCCCCAACATGCCTCCTGTCAAACAGGACTACAAACCACTTATTCCCAGCCTCATCCTATGTTCATCCTTTCCCTCCATGGCCCACTTTTTGCATGTCTTTTTGCTCCCTCCCAAGTGTCCCTTCCTGTGACTCCTTAAACTTGTCCAGCTTGTGCCACGATTTCCCACAGTTGGCTTTGGTTAGGTCTTCATGGTTCTCAGGATATGTTATGGCCTGGGATGGAAGGTCTTTCCCGATCTCCCTTCTAACTCTCCTCAATGAATACTTGAATAGTTCCTCAGAAGCACTGGGCACGCTGGCCCATCCTGTCCCCACTCGAGGGATGCCCATTTTCTGGAGTCTTCCTGGCCTCACCCCCAGAATACCTTCCTCCTGGGCTGGGTTAGGCGCCTCTTGCATGAATATGGATGAGCTGGTGGGGAATAATGCACCTGTGCTTTAGGACATCTGAGGTCCTGAATGAGATGCGGGGGGGGGGGGGGGGGGGGGGGGGGGGGGGGGGGGGGGGGGTTGGGTACTGTAGGTGTCCACCACCTTCACTGATGTCTCTGCTTTGTAGCCGAGTTGTTCGGAAATCCATCGCCCGTGTTCTCACCGTCATCAACCAGACTCAGAAAGAGAACCTCAGGAAATTCTACAAGGTGAGTCTGGGTTGGGGAGAGTCAGAGGGATGCTTAGCTGCAGGAACAAAATTCCAGCCCTCCCTTCGTATGAAGAGGCTCTTTCCACTGGGTTGCGTGGGCCTGGGCTTTCCAGAGCCTTCCCAACTTGTGCCTGGTTTAGCTTTCTGACCAGCAGCTTGCACTAGTCTGCATTTCCTCGGGGCTGCAGTTGTCAAGAAATCAACAGCCTTAGGTTTTGAATCCAGCCTTACCAGCTGAGTGAGTTTGAGCAGTCTGTGAGAATTAACTTCCAGTGTTTTGTCTTGCTAGCACTATGTCTGTCACTTTCAAGCACCTGATATTCTAATTTTTCAGATGGGGACCTCAAGTGTAGAGAGGTTAAGTCGCCCAGAGGCCTGCAGTTAACAGAGTGATTGGGTCTGCACTCCAAACCCTGTCTTGGGGAGGGGTGAATTGAGTGCTCCTGAGAGATTTGTGCAGGTGGCCTTTCAGCCTAGCATTTTCACAGCCGTTTTCTGGTCTTGTCCTTAAAATTAATGTTACCAGGGCTCAAGCTGTGAAGCAGAATCAGTTGGAGACTTTATATGTGTGTATACATGCACTTGACTTAATACAGAGAATTGGCTTATGTGATCTTGGGTTTAGCTGGTAAGTCCAAAATCAGCAGGGCTGGCTGTCAGGAAGAGAAAGTCATGGGCAGGCTGGAACTCACATGACAAGGCTGAAGTGCCCGTCCTCCTCCGTTGGAATTTCTTGGGGGAGAGTCTCAGCCCTGCTTTAAAGGCCTTTCAGCTGATTGGATCAGACCCACCCAAATTATCCAGGACAGTCTCTCAATGTCAGTTGATTGGGGGCTTTGAGTGCATCTGCAAAATGGCTTCACATCAGTATCCAAGTTAGTGTTTGAATAGCTGGAGGCTTTGGCCTGTCAAAAAATGCCGCCTTGGTGTTCCTGGGTTAGCTACCTTCCCTGGATGTATGTACATTGTGTGTGTGAGAATTGGGTTTTCTGAGAATTGGGCTTGAAACTTTGATGTCTTATTTTTGAGAGTCAGTGGGGAAGGGGCAGAGAGAAAGGGAGACACAGAATCCAAAGTGGGTTCCAGGCTCAGAGCTGTCAGCACAGCCTGACACAGGGCTCGAACGCATGAACCGTGAGATCAGGACCTGAGCCAAAGTTGGACGCTTAACCGACTGCGCCACCCAGGTGCCCCAAATCCCCCATCTTTGAGCTTATCTGCGCAACTTGTTTCTGCAGTTCTCTGCCCTGAGGCTGTTCCCCCTGTTAGCTCACACACTGCCGCCCTGTGCCTGTCCCCCCCCCGCACCCCACATCCCCCGAACTATTGGCAGTTCCCAGAAAGCACCTGAGCTGTCATTCTTCAGGGTTTTTGTGCACCCTGTTTTCTCCCTTTGGAACTGGTGTTCGCTCAAATTGCTTGCTTTCTAGGCTATTTTGCCAGTCATTAGTTGGAAGATTCCTTAATCTCTTTCCTCTTCCCCACCGACCAGCCACTTGGTAGCTGTCCAGTCTTACCCACTGGGCTTGGAGCTCCTTAAGCATGTCTGATTCATCACTAGGGCAGCACCCAGCACAGGGCCTCAGTCCCCTCCTGGACCGGCTCTCCTACATTGGCCTACATCTCCTCACTCTCAGATCTACACATTAACCTCCACACTCCCTCCAGCAGCCTCCTTCAGGCACTTACATCATCTTCCCTGTGCCCTCCAGCAGCTTAGTTCCAGCCTCGAGGGCTTCCTTAGCTGCCACGGTAGCTTCTAAACCCTGGCGCTCAGATTCCCCTCACTCTCCCATCACCCAGGGTAAAAAGTACAAGCCTCTGGATCTGCGGCCCAAGAAGACACGTGCCATGCGTCGCCGGTTAAACAAGCACGAGGAAAACCTGAAGACCAAGAAGCAGCAGCGGAAGGAGCGGCTGTACCCACTGCGGAAGTATGCAGTCAAGGCCTGAACACGGGCATCAATAAAACACAAACAAACTGGCTGGCATTGCTTCGTGTTTGTGGGTGTTTCAGCGAACCGTGCTGGAGAGGTGGGCTGATATGCCCTGGTTATGGTTATTAGGGGCCTGGAGGGGGTGGTTTGGCGGGCCTGCCTGTGGCTGTTGGCAGCCCCAGCGTGGGACCATGACAGTCCTGACCACAGGGATCTCTTGGGAGCTCTGTTCTGGTTACTTCGGGTCCATGGTGTGCCGCTTCCCTTACTGTCCTTTCAGGGGCTTGTTCTGCCAGGTCCCATGCGCCCTGGGCAGGGAGAGACCGGCTTGGGATCTGAGAGCCATTTATGGTGACGTTATATGTGGAGGCTCTGGGTGATTTGACCTGCAGCGGACGTGGTATCTTGCCTGATCAGCAGCTCCAGACACTAAGAGTTTCCCGTCCGGGGTGAAGGCACAGGCATGGGCCACATCCAGGACTCCCTGCCAAAACACTTCACTGGGCTCTGGGAATGCAAGTCCTGCCTGCTCCCAACCTCCCCTGGCAGGCCTTTTCCTACACCCTTGGGTGTTAAACCCACAGGTTTTAACTTACCTTCAGGGTCTCAATGCACTTTCCTGTGTTGCAGTCCCAGACTTTTACCTGGAATAATAAGCAGAAGGCGGGGGAGGCCTCACCCCACATGTCTGGCATCTTTGAAATCACTTTGGGTTGAGTCCCAGCCAACCTCTTAACCTCTTGGTCTGGGTTTTGTTGTCTGTGAGGTGTATTTAACATACCCCACATAATCTGATGTAAAAATTCAGTGCAGTATAATTCCTTTTTCCCTAAAGCTATGTTGTGTCTTAGAAATGTTAATGTCACTAAGTGGACCTTAGTGCCCAGAAGTGGTGGGCACCTGGGTTCTGTCCTTGTCACCCTCCTGTTTAGGGCCAATAGGATGTAGACCTTTCTAGACTGTGCTGAGGGCTGTGGTAAAGGAGGATGTTGGGTTAGGAGTTTGCCAGGAGGACAGGCCTGGTGGGGGGCCGAGGTGCTTACCATATGGGAGTAGCCAGCGCTGGCTAACTGTGATCCATCAGGGGAGAAAGCTATGCTCTTCAACCAGGTGACATGGCCCTTGAGCTGAACAAGCAGGCTTTTGGTGGAAGGCTTCCAGATGTGGATGGTCTTGTCCCAGGAGCCAGAAGCCTGGACAGCAGACAGCTCTAAGCCCATGGGTTTGGGGCCAGTAGGGGCCAGCCTGGAGCCCAGGGTGACCTAGCTCACCAGGAGGCCGGATGCTGAGTAGCACAGGCAGCTGATGTTGCCACTGTGGCCTTCCAGCTTTTGGTGGGTCACTGTGGTCTCCATCCGCAGGTCCCAGATGCAGATAGCAGAGTCCCAGGAGCCAGTGGCCTGCACACATCTGCTGTGAGCACGAACCAGCTAGCCCATACCCACCTTTGTGGTTCCTAGGCTGGCCAGGCTCAGAGGAAGCAAGCACTGTCTCTGAGCCCTGCTGAATTCCCCATCTTGCAGATACGGGGACTGGCTCAGAAGAGCAGAGTCACCCAGTCAAGGTGTGGAGTTCTAACCACTGCTCAGCCCCCAAGTGAGTAAGTGGGTATGTGGCTCACCAAGGAGTCTGAGCTGGGTGCGAAATCACTGCTCTGGACAGAGTCTCGGTGCCCTCCTAAGTGGCGCAGCATCTGGCCAGACTGCAGGAGAGAGAGAGCCCTGAGCTTTGGAGGGTAGCCCAGAAGCCTGCGGTGCCAGGTTCTCGGCCTCAGATGGGTCAGACCAGGCCTTCCTGGGGCTGCCTGAGTAGTGTAATCACACAGGGTCTGCGGAGGCTACCTGGGCTTTGATGGGAGAGGAGGGCTATCCAGGCCGTGTGACCCTCAGGAACAGATGTCTTGAGGCAGGAGGACTGGTGTGGCTGGGGGTACAGCTGCAGTCAAATTCAAGGGGATCTTGCATGCTAGGTATGGGCATAGGCAGTGGGGAAAGTGGGACAACCTTTCCGGGGCCACTGGGGTGTCTCCTCCAGGCCCCAGGTTTCGCTCTGGCCGCCCCTCCACATACCTGCACCTCCCAGAGCACCACCTGCTTGTCCCAGCCACCCGATGCTAGCTGTTTTGAGTCCGGGCTAAAGCTGACTGTCTCCACGCTCCTCTGGTGACCTGGTGGAACAAGATACAGCAGGGTCTAGAAGGAAACCCAGGCCTGGCTGCTTGGTTCTAGTCCCATCCAGCACACTCACCTTTCAGGACATGCAGACACTTGGCTTCTGCTACATCCCACAGGCGGATAGTACAGTCACCAGAGGTAGTGGCAAACAGGCGGCCATCAGGGGAGAAGCGGCAGAACTTGACAGGGCCTGGGTAAGCAGGCATGGTCAGGAAACGGTGCTGCCCTCCACCTTGCAGGCCGATGACCCCTGCTAATCTCTCCAGCCTCATCACCTACCTCCCCTCTCCTCACCGCTTTCTAACCCTCTCATCCTCCAGCCACCTGGCAAGTTGAACTTCCATGACTTGCCCTGGAACACCCAACCTTAATTTGCCCATTTGTAAAATCAATGCCAAAAGCAAATGCAGGCACCTTCCAGAAACCTGTTGAGAGCCCAGCCTGGGTTTGTTGCCTCCTTTGAGCTCCCCAGCCCTGGACTTCCCTTATTAACAACATTAGTCAGTCTACTCTGTGATTTATCAGATTTTTTTTCTTGTTTCAGTAATAATTGTAATAGTTCTATCTACTGAGTCCTTATTCAGTGCTAGGCACTTTGCTTACGTTGTCTCATCCCACAGGATAGCCACTGCCCCCATTCTAAAGAGCAGGAAATTGAGGCACCATGACAACAAACACAGTCAAAGTGGTTAAATAGCTGAACATTCTGCTAAGTCACGAAAAGGAATACTGGATGGTTCCACTTACACAAGGTACTTAGAGTAAATTCATTGAAATAGGAAAAATGGTGGTCGGGCTGGAGGAAGGGATGAATGGGGAGTTTGATGGGTATAGAGTTTCCATTTTGCAAGATGAGTTTAGGAGACTAGCTGCACAGTGAACATACTTAACACAACTGAATTGAACATTTAAAAATGGTTAAGATGGTAAATATATTTTTAAATAATTTTTAACAGCAGGATTGGGGTGCCTGACTGTCTCAAACCAGTAGAGCATGTGACTCCATCTCAGGGTTGTGAGTTCGAGCCCCATGTTAGGCATAGAGACTACTTGAAAATTAAAAATTAGGGGTGCCTGGGTGGCTCAGTTGGTTAAGTGTCCGACTTTGGCTCAGGTCATGATCTCACGGTTCGTGGGTTCGAGCCCCACGTGGGGCTCTATGCTGACAGCTAGCTCAGCCTGGAGCCGGCTTCAGATTCTGTATCTCCCTCTCTCTCTGACCCTCCCCTGCTCACACACTCTCTCTCTCAGAAATAAATAAAACATTCAAAAAAAATTTTTTTAATTAAAAAAAAAAAAAAAACAGTAAAAAGGTCTAAATCCAGGTCTGGCAGAGGCCCCAGAGACCAGGTCCTGTGTCCTTGCCCTCCTGCCCCAGCCCTGTCCAGGCTGTCTTGCATGGATGCCTGCTCAGATGTCAGAGTGCATTGTGATAAGCCCTGCAGAATGCCAGACAGACCCGTGGGCCTTGGTCTCCACATCCAGCCCGAGGAGCCCAACCTGCATGGCCACCTAGCCTCCACAGCAGCCGCCCGCTCTGCGTCTCCCAGCCATACACACAGCCATCTTCAGAGGCTGTGAGCAGCCTCTGGCCATCAGGAGAGAAGGCAGAGGAGTTGACCTGGAAGGAGAGCACAAAAGTAGTCCCATCCTGGAGCAAGAAACACCTGTCTGCTCATGCCTGACCCCAGACTCATGGGCCAGCCCTAAACATTGCTCCCACAGGCCTGGGGTTGGAGCTTAGACTTCAAATCTCACTCTACAGCTCGAGCCCAGAATGCAGGAGCTACTCTTGGAGTCAGAGCCAAGAACTTGGAGCCATTCTCTGGAACCCTGTAAAACCTGGGCCTGAAACTCAAGAGTCCTCCTTGAAGGTAGAGGCTGGAGCCTTCTCTAGAACCAGAGCCTGGCACCCCAGAGCCAAGAGCCCATGGTAGAGCTGGAGCCCAGAACTAGGAACTGAAAATCTAAGCCTTGAATTCATTTTAAAGCCAAAGTCAAAAGAACACTGGTGTCATCTAGTGCGCCCTCTCTAAAACCAGAGCTTAGAATCTCTAACCCCGTTCTGGAGCTGGGGGTGAGAGAACACTAAACAGAATAAGGCAGCACTCTAGACCCAAAGCCAAGAGCCTAGAGTCAGCAGGACCTCACCTCCCCACGGTGCTGGCCGAAGAATTTCACTCTCCCCACGGCCAGCGTCCCTGCGGCCCCGCTGTTCATGGGCCCCAGGGTGCCAGGCTCGGACTGGCTCCCTCCTAGGCGGGCGCTGGTCCCGCCAGCCGGTCCCACTTAAGGTGGAGTAGATGGAGGAAGCTGTGTACAAGGGGTCTCCATGGCAATCGGGGCGGAGCACGCAGCCAATGTGGGGTCTCTGGGAAGCCACAGAGGAGAGACCGGTTGGGAGAGACTGTTCTCAGCTCCCGGGAGGTGGGGCCGCAGCGGCAGGACCATCGGCGACTCGCAGAAGGGACTTCCCCTCCTGGCGGATAACCGCTGGCCCTTACTCAGCCCCGACCGCGGCGCCAGACGACGCGCACGGCGACCGCTAGAGGGCACGCCAGCCCCACACACCGCCACTGCCTCCCTGCTTCGGGAACCCACACACCGTGCCGAGCGTGCAAGTGATCTGCAAAGGGCTCCCAGACCCCTTTGAAGGGAGCCACTTTCCCCGTGTGCACAATGGAGTGGTTCATCCCTGCCACCTAGGGCTCCAGGCTTGAGCTAAGAGCAAGGCCTAGCACATTATAGGTGCCCAGGAAAGCCCACTCTGGTGTGAAGACCTCTCCTCCTGGAGTGCCCAGTACGGAGGCTGAGGAGTTCCATGAAGAGGGCTGGAAGCGATGCCATCTCTGTCCCCAGAATGGGGGGAGCCAGAGGTAGTGTGTGTAAGTCACAGGGCATGAGAAAGTAGGGTCCCTGTTAACATTCTGGCAGCACAAAATGTGGCATCTGTGAATGTGGAGGCTGTGGAGGCTGTGAGAAGGCCCCAGGAGCTGTCAGGTTCCTTGTTGGAGAGTTGAAGTCAAAACCAGACAGGAACAGGACTTGGTTTTAATGTCATTTTACAGATGAGGAAATAGAAGCCTCATGAGGTAGAGGGACTTGCCCAAGGTCACTCAGGCAGTAGGAAAGGAACTGGGACTTAGCCCATATCTGTCTGACTTTGAGGGCCTATATTAGGACCATCTGCCATGAATTCCAGGGGTCTCAAGCAGATGCCACTAACTCCTGGTACATCTGGGAAACAGAGTCCTTGAGGGAGCATATTTGGCCCAGTCATCCAGCACCTCTATGGCAGAGCTGGGGCCAGGACCCAGTCCCTCCCCAACAAGACACAGGGTGGAACGGAGACACCCTCCCTGCCATTGTCCAATGGATTCCAGGCTCCCTGGGGGTGGGGGTGGGGCAGCTCTGCTTTGGGAGCATCAAACTCAAGGGTTCCCAGCAGTGACTCACACCCCTTCCCCCCAGACTTCTTTCCCAGACTCTTCTCACGAGATCCACTGTGCTCTTGCTCTATTTTAGGTCCCAGACAGCCAGGCGGGAGAGGAGGCGACAATGGTGGCTTTGAGGCAGCCCTACCCGCATCCTAACTCCAAGAGAGCCCAGGTCACTGAGTTGGCTCTTCAAGGACCCGTCTGGGTTGGCCACCACCCCATCCTCAGATATGGGTGCCGGACACAGTCCCTTGGAGCTATCTGGCCCCCCAGGCCTTCCCCCTTCCTCTGCATAGGCACCCCTGCTCCCAATCCATGCCACATTTGGCATTGCCCCAGCCACCTGGCTGCTCTTGCTCTACCTGGAGGGCCCAGAACTAACTAACCTAGTGCAGCCCATCACTCCCAGACCCCTGTGAACAGACCTTGTCCACCAGGCCCAGGGACTACCAGGGGTAGAGGTGGAGCTAGGGTTACAAACTTTTTTTTTTTTAATAGGCTCTCTGCCCAACATGGGGCTTCAACTACTCACAACGGCAAGATCAAGAATTGCATGCTCTACTGACTGAGTCAGCCAGATGTCCCTGGGTTAAAACCTTTTTGCTCAACACTAGAGCTTGTGGTTGGAGTTACCCACCATGAATTCCTCAGAGGCCAGACCATGTCCACCTCTCCTGCCACATCCCGTCCCTGCCCCCCTGCCCTCCCACCCCCATCTTGCTCCCCAAACTCAGCCACAGGGGCCCTTTTTTCCACTCCCCCCATCTTCACTCCCGCCCTGGACCTGTGCCCACAGGGTTCCCCTCCTCTTACCTGACGCTTACCTTGGGATCTAGCTCAAATATCACTTCCCCAAGGCGCCTTCCCTTGCCCATCCCCCAGACAAGTCAGAGCTCCTGCCCCAGAAATGGGACATTAGAGCTACTGGTCTGGGTTAAACCTGAGTCCTGCCAACTACCAGATCCGCAATCTTGGGCAAGTCGCCTGATCACTCAGTGCTTTGTTTCCTCATGTGTAAAATGAGTACACTCACAGCAGTGGTCTTGTAAGGAGTCAGTGAGATGGGGCCGTCAGGGCCCCTGGTGTACAGCAAGCACTCAAAGAAGTGGCGGGAAGCTGTGACATCCACAAGCCTGAAATCCAGACACAAAGCTCTGAATGCCCTTTGCCAGGCTCACCCAAGAGACACTTCATGACATAGAGAGGGCCTGGTGATCGGGGGTAGTCTGTCTCCGTGCCCAGCAGGGGCTGAGGGTTTGGGCAGAGAGAGGCTGCACCTGCAGCAAGGGATGGTTCACAGCGGGGGAAGGGAGGGCACGAGTGGGTCACAGTCACCTTGGTAGCAGAAGTATTTTATTGGCCCAGGGTTCTGCCCATTAGATTAGGGGACACAGATTCTCACCTCTGCAAGAGGGTCCTGGGAGGATATTTTCCACCCTTTGACTGTCTTCCTTCTCAGAGAGCGCACCACATTCTCTCCTCCTCCAGCTCAGATTGTCTGAGAAGGATTTTGTTTTGTTTTGTTTTGTTTTGTTTTGTTTTGTTTTGTTTTGTTTTTTGCTGACCTTTCCTACTGTCACTCCATGTCTTGAAGGTGACCCATGGTCTTGGATTCAGCCTTGCCTCTCTTCACTATCTCAAAATACCTGCCTTTCTGGGCCCCTTGGTTCCCTCTGAAATTGCCATGGGTACACCGCTGCTTTAAAGAGGAAACTGGAGGGATGCCTGGCCCTGCCTATCCGGCCCCTGCCCACCTCTGCTGCCTGCTTGTCTCTTCCTCAGCCCCTCCTCCACACCCTCTCCCCGAAGCCTCCAGTCCTGAGAAGTTTAGTGAATCATAAAATGCCAGGGCTAGGATGCGCTTTCTGACAGTGCCCCGGGAAACAAGGAAAGCGGTCTTGTAGCAAGAGAGCAGGCGGAGGGAAGGTGGAGAGGCAGACTGGCCTGCTTGCTGCCAGCTTTCCAGCCCCCCGCTCTGCTCCTGACACTGCCGTCCTAAACGGCACCTATTTCCTTTTTCTGCTGAGTCAGCTCCAGGATGGTTTTTGTTTTAAAAAAATTTTTTTGAAGTTTATTTTTGAGAGAGAGAGAGAGAGAGAGCAAGCATGTGTGGGATAGGGGCAGAGAGAGAGGGAGAGAGAATTCCAAGCAGGCTCCATGCTGTTAGTGCGGACCCCTATGTGGAGCTCGAACTCACAAACTGTGAGATCATGACCTGAGCCATGATCAAGATCAAGAGTCAGACGCTTAACTGACTGAACCACCAAGCGCCCCAGTTTTTTGCGTTTTTGCTTACTTGCCTCCCACAGGGCTCTGACTAAAACGTCTCTGTAATTTTCACAGCTGCTTCCCTATGATTATGCCTTTGGGGCTGCTTCTCTGGGCTTCCTCTGCAGCTACTTGCATGCTGGGATCCTAGCTCCCCAAGTGTGATCAACACCTTTATTGGAATTCACTGTAGTTGTCATCGACCCTCCTGAAGTGTGGAGACCAGAACTGGAAACATGCTCTGTGTATAGACCAACAAATGCCAAGTTGAAAGGTACTGTCATCTCCAGTTTTCTAGACACTCAATCTCTAGCAATGCAGCCTGCATTACTAGAGGCATTTGTCTTTTCAACAGCTACATTATTCTGGTGACTCGATGAATCTGCAGTGAGAGCTTTTTCCCACCAACTACTGTTCAAGCAACCGTCCCCCTCCTATAGGGTACTTGCACAGTGGATTCTTTGGAATCACGTAAACCCTTACACTATGCTGGTTAAATGTCATCTTCTGGATCCCGTCCACCCATCTAGTCTTGAAAGCGTTGTTAAGTGTGGCTTCCACTGCACAAAACTCTGATTTTGCCACCGAGGCAGCTGCGGATTTTATGATCAGGCCTTCTGCGGTTCTAAATCCAAATTGTGAAAATGGTGATCAATGCAACTACCACTAGAGACTCTCACTGATTTTCACCCTCTTTTGCACCCGTCCGCACCCATCCAGATCACGAATTAACTGTGAGGGGAAGGAGGGCCCATTCCTTTAGGAGTAGGTCTCGGTGGGGAGGAGAGTGATGAGCTCCGAACTCCAGCAGGGCTCTTTGATTGCAAACAACAGAAACCCATCTATGGCCAAAAGAGACCACATGGAAAGGGGTTGGGGAGCAGGACTTCAAGACGGGAAAGAAGGCAACGCCTTCACACCCGGTAAGTACAGGAAGCAGGGCTGTTAAGCCACTGAGATGCCCAAGCGCAGGATCCTTGAAGAGCATATGATTGGCCCAGCATGGGTCACGTGTACACATGGGGCGGGGCACCTTGACTGGCAGTCCTGGTATGACCTGGGCTTTTCCTTGGACCTCTACCCTCCTGCCAACCAATCAGGGATCTCTAGGCTTAGTGATCTGCTGTGCACTTTGGAATCAGGAGCCAAAGAGGTACGTTCAAATCTGGCTTCACCACCCATCTGCTGTGACCCCGTGAAGTTCCCTAACTGTTCTGTGCTTCCTTTTCCTGGTGTCTACAATTAGGATAATGATTAATACCTACGTCATAGGGTCTGCTTTGACGATTGAGTTTTAATGCATGCAAAGTGCTTGGAACAGCATTTGGTCCATAGTAAGTGCTCTGTGTTGGGCAGCTGTGTTACTGAAGTCGTATGTCGTGATCCACAGTTTTCTAGTGTAGCCCAAAAGGTATGAAGATAAATTCCCATGTCTTACAGAAACTCAGGTAGGTGTATCTGCATAGGGCACTGTTGCCCTATTGGTAAAGGAGAAAGGCAAGAGCATAGAGTGGTTTAATTCCCAACAAGCATCATTGGCATCTGTAGTCAGCACTGCCTTTTCTGAGCACTCTCGGATCGCTGCTGGGTACTCTGTCCAGAACTGCTTGGCAATCAGTGCTGTGCTAATCAGTCCATGATTGCTGGACTCACCCTTTCTGGAAAAGTAGGACCGCAGTACTTTCTTCTCTCCTGGACCCTGGCTTCTGGCGGTGTTCTGTGGTATCGGAGTTACGCCTTCCGCTCTGGCTCTGTTGGGCTACAGTTTGCTAGAGCGAGAAATTTGGTTGTATTTATTTATCTTATTATATTTTTAGCATGTTCTTTTCTAAGGCCATTTTTCCGTTTGGGTAGCAGAGTGACCTGGATGCTGGAAGGACCCCAAGAAGCTCAGGGGGCCTGCCTACCCCCCAGTCTCCCCGGCGTGGGCCATGGCCCCTTGCCTGTGTTCCAAGCTCTCAGGTTCAGGGACTCTTCCCCACAGGCCTCTTCAGCCAGTCCCACACTCCAGTAACTCTTACAGAGAAAGAAACCTCTGATACCCTGGGACGAGCACCACCAAGGTCATGAACACACTGCCTTCCAGATGCCAGGCCCAGATTAGGACCAAATGAGGGGGGCAGGAGTGGGTGTCCTGGCAGGCCCTCGTTATGTAACAGACTCACCCAACTTGTGGAGACAGGGCCTCAGCCCAACCAGAGAGGACTTTTATGGTACTTTATGTATCTTTTTGTTTTTGGCAGTAAAAAATGAATTTATTTTTTTAAATTTCTTATTTATTTTTAATTTACATCCACGTTCATTAGTATATAGTGCAATTATGATTTCAGGAGTAGAATCCAGCGATTCATCCCCTACATATAGCACCCAGTGCTCATCCCAAGTGTCCTGCTTAATGCCACTCGCCCATTTAGCCCATTCCCCACCCACAACCCCTCCAGCAACCCTGTTTGTTCTCTGTATTTAAGAATCTCTTATGTTTTGTCCCCCTCCCTGTTTTTCTTTTATTTTTGCCTCCCTTCCCTTATGTTCATCTGTTTTGTAACTTAAATTCCACATGAGCGAAGCCACATGATATTTGTCTTTCTCTGACTGACTTATTTCACTTAGCATAATACCCTCTAATTCCACCCACGTTGTTGCAAATGGCAAGATTTCATTCTTTTTGATTGCCAAGTAATACTCCATTGTGCATATATGCATATATACATACACACACACACACGCACACACACACCCCACATTTTCTTCATTCATCTGTCGGTGGACATTTGGGCTCTTTTCGTCCTTTGGCTGTTGTCAATACTGCTGCTATAAACATTGGGGTGCATGTGCCCCTTAAAAATAGCACACTTGTACCCAAGTAGGGTACTTGGATACAAGTAGAGTAGTTCTATTTTCAACTTTTTGAGGAATCTCCGTACTGTTTTCCAGACTGGCTACACCAGTTTGCATATTTATTTAATTTTTTACATTCTTAAAACAGCCTGAAAACAATGTCTGAGGACAGAGGGATAGTCACCTGTTTTTCCAGATCTGTGAGGTCTGTGCCTGCATCTCCAATGATTTCAGACAGCACTTGTCGCCCCCCACCGCCAACCCCTAGGGTTTTCGTGGAGATGGAAGGGTTGGGTCTAGGCGTTGGGGGTCGAACGTGAGTCTTTCTGACTTCTCTATGCTTTCTGACTTCTCTGTGCCTCAGTCTGGACACTGTCACATTTCTACACAGCTTTATTCCTAGCACACAAACCACTGTGTTTAATTTTTAAAAAAATTTTTTTAATAGTTTATTTATTTTTGAGACAGAGAGACAGAGCATGAGCGGGGGAAGGGCAGAGAGAGAGGGAGACACAGAATCTGAAACAGGCTCCAGGCTTTGAGCTGTCAGTACAGAACCCGATACGGGGCTCAAACCTATGAACCGTGAGATCATGACCTGAGCTGAAGTCGGATGCTTAACCAACTGACCACCCAGGTGCTCCAACCACTGTTTTTAATTTAAGAAATGTTTTAAATTACATGCTGGTTGCAAAATATATATATATATGTATATATAGAAGTCTAAAAAATAAAAGATACAAGTGGCCATTCACTCCCCCATACCTCTAGCCTCTCTCCAAAGGAGGCAATGGTGAACAGTGGTGTTGGGAGGTGGGGGAGCATCCCTCCAGTGACTTCTCCTTTGAACCCTGTTTTCCCTCTATAAAGTAGAAACAGTGATGGTTTGCCCAAGGGGCTCCCAGAGGTAAGGGTTTGCCTAGTTAAATGAGACAAAGTAAACAGGGGCCTTGCACAGAATAGGTGCTCAGGAAATGACTGTTGGTTTCCCAGTGGTTCCCAAGAACTCAGTGGTGTGCTCCCTCAGGCCTTAGTCACTCCATCAGTCTCCCCAGCTCTCAGCCTGGGACTGAGCACCACCCACTGCCTTCTCAATGCATCCAGAGGAAATTAGCCCCAGGCCAACAAAAATTAGGGGAGAGGGAGAGGGAGTGAAACTCACAGCACTACAGGACCTGCTTGGGATGACTGATCTCGGTCCATACTACCACCAGACTACAATCTTATTTTGCACAGATGAGGAGACCAGAGTCTAAGTGGGGAGGTAACTTCCCCAAACCAGTGTGATGGGTGGGTGAGAGAGCCAGAGTGGAGGCCAGGCCTGAGTCCTAAACTCATGTCCTTTCTGCCCTGCCACACTGACTGCAAATCAGTCATTCATCCCTGTGCTCAGCCCAGGCCCAGAGGAGCTCTTGAAAATGCTTTTTGAGTGACCTGATACATGAATAAATGAATCAGTGGCTACATTATGTGTTTTATATGTTGCTCTGATCACTACTCCCTCTCACATTATTTATTTCCTGTGTTTTTTTTCACAATGACCCTACCTGGTGGGAAGCTTCACCCCTATTTCACAGATGCGGAAACAGATTAAAGTTACCCCAGGCTTTAGCCATAGCATGAGAAGCAGAACTCAAGTCCAAACTGTCTGAACTCAGATCCCTTGTGACCTGTTCTCACTGGTCCCCACAGCTCTCTCCATCATGCCAGCGCCAGCTCGGGGCCCTCTGGAGCCCAGCATGTGCTCAGGAGATATTGAACCACCCACCAGATGCTTGCATGAATGCCCTGAGAAAAGGTATGCTTACTTGTTTGATTGGAAACAAATAAATGGTGAGGTCTTGGGACGCTTGCCCAAGTGCCCCGGATGCCCATCCCTACCCTAGCTGGGTTCACCCTCCCCTGAATCCTGCAGGTTTCTGATGAAGCTGGCATCTAGCTCCCTGGTCTCCTTGTGTCCTTCCCGCCTCTGGGGGAGAAGAGTTGGGGAGAAAGGTGAGGTCTGGCCCAGGCTCTGGGACATCTGTGAAGGTAGCAGACCAAGGTCAGCGTCTGGTGGCCTTACCCTCACCTCCTTGGGTTTTGGAGGAACTTGACCCTACCCTGGTACGTACCCAGGAGGATGGATCATCTAGGAGCAGAGTCCTGAGAGATGGACACAATGGTACCCAGCCTGGCTGACCCAACAACATCAGAAAGACAGCCACGGCCACAGCTCTGCTCATGGAGTTGGACTAAACCCTTTACTACTTCATTGAATCCTCCCAGTGTGGCCCTAGGTGGGACCTGGACTAGCCCTGGCCTGACCCTTGACCCAGAGGACTGAGGGACAAGGCCCCAGGAGGAGTGGTGGCTCATCCCCTGTCTGTCCCCTGGTCCCTGGGCTGCTGACCCACCTTGGGCCCTGAAGGGGGCTTCTGGAATCCCACTGGAACTGGGGGCGAAGGGCTTGGCTTGACGGCAAAGTGGGAAACAAGGGGAGGGGATGGACATGCTGCCAGACCCCACACCAGCCTCTTCTCTTCCTTCCCCTCTTTCTTCATTCTTCCTTTGTTTCTGTTCTCCACCCACATTGTCTTCCTCCCACCTAGATCCCTGTCTCCTGCTCTTGCCAAATCCTGCCTCTCAATCCCTGTGAGTCTGCCACTTGAGATCAGAACCTGAGGGAGCTCAGGGAGGGGGACTGGGCCCCTTTGGGGCAGTCAGAGAGGTCATCTGGGAGGAGACGATGGGTTCTAGGCTTCTGGAGTTAAGGAGGTATCTGTCAGACACAAAACAGGGAGAAGATCTGAAAGGCAGGAAGAGGGTATGGCTCCACCTGCGAGGACATCTGTGGGA